CTGTCTGGTTGACGAGCCATGAAAACGCAGACGATGCACTGCCGTCCAAAATGATGACGAAAAAAAAATTAAACACAACTACCCATACAACTGTGTGGAGGACACTCGCACACACTGACACGCACTATCACACACACACACCATGCACCCTACGTCGCCGACCGACCACGGATGGCGGCAGCGATCTCCAGAAGCGCGTGGCACATCATCCTCTACGTCTCATCGGATGCTGCGTAGTGCGCTTTCTGGATTGCAACTTCCTGCTCTAGTATGTCGCACTGCCTCGTGAATATGCTGCATTGCCGCTTGCTAGATGATTCGATCGTCGACGACATGAGTTCGCCATGGCGGTCCATGACATCAGCAATCGACTCCAACGCCTGTTGACGCGCATTCTTCCGCTTACCGCCTCCAGCCCCGCTGCCAGCATTGCTGTCGTAGTAGAACGTTCTTCAGGGAGGCCTTCACCAGCGCCCTCATTACCAACAGACTCCCCAGCACCCGCTCCTCGCCTGGGCAGTTGCACCCTGTCCGGACTTCCAGTGTCGCCGATGTTGGGAGGGAAAATTGTGTGGTTGCCAACCATGCGTATGTGGATCTCGTTGTATAGCGCCCTCTCCATCCGGAACTTGAAGTTGTGCTCCTTCCTTTCTTCATTCAATAGCCGGAAGAAATTTGGTCGGCCACTCGCATTCTGAAACCTCTGTATCTTCTTGTAGTTTTCGAAGATATTGTCCCACTTCTTCATGCAGTCGTCCGTGTCTTTCGGCCTCCCCGCGTTCGCCATGCGCTTGGCAATATCTTCCCACTTCCACTCCTTGGTCCGCATCCGCCCGTAATTGTGACCGAGACCGGCGAGGTGCATCTCTTGCTCCCGCTTGCATCTCACCAGTTGGATTTGCTCTTCCAGGGACCAGTACGTCGCAGAGTTCCTGCCGTCATCGCTGACGCCACCTCTGCCCCCACGGCCAACGGATCGACCACGAACAGCACCCCTGCTGCGTCCTCTCCCCCTCCTGCCCGTCTTCCCCAAAGACCGAATAGGAATGTCGTCGTCGTCGTCCCCTGCCTCCACGTCTTCCCCGAATTGCCCGTCTGCATCGTCACCGCCACCACCATCGTCGTCGCCACCATCGCTGTGTGCCCGCATGTTCGAAACTCCTCATGTGATGTTCTCCACACTGGGTGTTTGACACACAGCTGGTCTGCACGTGTCGTCGTCCCTGAGGTCGGGTTGGGTCAGCGTTTTGCTTTTGGGCATCGAATGAAGTGTACCGCCGATGCGCAGGGACCCTACTGCGACTCCGTTGCGTTCGGGGCAGGTGCTTGTCAATCGATCGGCGGACGGTGCACTCGATCCATGCTGCCGGCCTGCTGACGATGGCCTCACACCGACACAAACGGACGTACCGCCACGAAGTGTGGACTGCTCTGTATGCCGACTTCCAGATTGTTGAACGCCACGCGGTGAAGGATCGATGTCAATGATGAACGTGCGGCTCGCCTCCCTACCGCCGCTAGAAGACAACCCGAACGGGAGATCAACTCCCCCGTCGTCGTCGTCTCCCAATCCCTGCTGCAGGAGTGTCGTGTACTCGCCGCGTCCGTTGCTTGCCAACCCGCCTGCGAGCACCGTCTGTGACAACAGCTGCGTCGACCCGCTGGCGAGAGGAAATGTTGGAAGTTCATCCCCCTCCGACTCCTCATCCGAGGGAGGCAGCGGCGTCTCCCACGACGGCAGATGGCTGTACATGGAGGGGTCGTACCGCCTTGAAGGCTCCGTCGTCGGAGGTCTTCTTCCGCCCTCAGCCGCAGGCAGAACAGCGCGTACCTGCATGCCCGCCATGGGCGGAACAGCGCGTACCTGCACACCGCGTTTCGTTGACGCCCTGCGCTTGCGACGTTGCTTCCACGGCTGGCACGACAAGCACACGTGGAGGAAGACGACAAACAGGAAGACGACGACAACGAGAAGCAGCAGAGGCAATCTCCTCTGCATGTCTGCCATGAATTCGACGTCGACAGGCGACCTTGCACATGACGTCGTGCTGAACTTTCTCCTCACAAGCCCGCGGACAAGGACGTTGGTTCTTCATATGCCGTCGACCGCCAGCGAAGACGACAAACGATGCCGCCTGCGATTAAAAAAAGTGACCGTTGGCGCCCACAATAGCCTCCGTGTGACATCGTGCGCACGTCTGGGGACTCCTCCGTTGCCCGCTCCCGAGCCAACGGTCCTCAACGCCCGCGAGCCAGGCCACGCTTCGCCCACCGCGCTCCACCCCACCGGCCAACGGCCACCCGCGGGGGCCGTTGCCGTCGTCAACCGGCAGAAAACCTCCGATTTCCGCCCACCGACCCGACGGACCTCTCCTGGACCACCACCTCCGTGTCGACGGTGCCATTCTCGCGACACGACGACTCCGTGAAACGCGGGAGTCCTAAACTTTTCAGTAGGTCCGGGGCTACTGGAAAATTTAGGACGATTTGGCTGGGAAATCCTAAATCTTTTAGGACGAGTCCTAACGCCGTTTTCACATTTTCGATTCCCGCGTCCGATTTAGGATTGCGTGCAACCAAGACGCAATCCTAAAAAAAGGAACTTTTAGGAGTGTCTAACAAGACCCTAAGCCACTCTCCACGCATCGATCCCGACATAAATCCTGGCCAATGGAGGAGAGAGAAGGGAGGAAAAAACATCAGCGCCAGAAGCTTAGTGGGGAAGGATTATAGTTCCGCACGGGGTGGACCAAGAACTTCAGTCTTGCCGGAGTGGGGTGAGGACTGTTGGTGGATTCCCGAGTCTTCTTCTGGTTTTTGTTTATCTCTGAATGTTCCTTACAAAAAAGCTCTGATGTAAGGAAAAAAAAAGAAAAGAAAAGAAAAGAAAAAAAAAAAAAAAAAAAAAAAAACCCTTCAAGATTGACAGGGAAAAAAAAAAAAAAGATGACCACAGCAGGATGCGTGCGGAGCACGAAGCAGCCTTCAGATACGGCCGCGGTAAGAAAAATGCAGCATGCCCAAATTCCTATGCTAATTGAAGTTCTAAATACAGCCGAAAATCCCGGTACACCCGGAGACCTTCGTATATTTCAAAAATTCAAAAATACCTTCCACACGGCAGTTCTGACAAAATTTATCACGCCATCCAGCGGCCTAGCTCAATTGGTTAGGCACACAAGTGACATTCAGGAGGTCATGGGTTCAATCCCCATGGCCGCCTGTAGCACTCTTGGTGCCAACCAACTGAGATAGTCAGCTGGATCCTCCCAGTCGGTATCAGTAAGGTCTTCAGCCAACACGGGTGTGATTGCGTGTGTGAGTGGGTTGAGTGTGGTGTGTGGGAGAGGGTTGGCTTTAGACACTACTGTTACTCGATGGGGGTGGGGGAAGATGAAAAGGGAGGCACAGCTACTGGCAAAATGCTCGGTCCTTGTGTTAGCCGGGCCCCCACCGGCGGCCCCAACCCTGCACCCTAAAACGCTAGGGCAAAGGGGCAAACATGCCGTTACCCCTCTCCACCTAGAGAGGTAACCTCCCTTCACCAAAGAGAGGTAGAAAGCTATGGTTGCAGGGGTCCCCTGTATAGCCCTAGGAGTAGTGGTAGGCAGTGAAAAGAAAGATATGTTCCATGACATGGAAGAACGCCAGTTAAAAAGAAAGACATGTGAGGTGAGAGAAAAATATATGGCTGTCCCCAGTGAGGAGAAGGCAGCTTAAAAAAAAGAAAAAAAGAAAAAAAAGAAAAAAAAAAAATCACGCCATGTATACAATATTCAAGAACTGAAAAAAAGAAAGGGAAAAGTCCATGTATGCATTTTTCTCTTGCGCTCACTAAGGCGCATCCTAGCTGCCAAGGAGAAAATGGGACTGCCCTTCTCAGAAGAGGGGAGAAAGGAAATGTACCCTCAACAAGGGCCGGCCACCCATGTTTGCAAAATTCAGCCAAAAATGAATTTTTTGAGGGGCATGTGTGCAATTAGCCCCATAGCCATACACAGGCCTCATTCAGGCCCGACACTCTTTGCGTAGAAAATCGCACACATTAGGAATGAGATCATCACAATCGCACAGTCAATCCCCCTGGGTAACCCGGTCTCGTTACTGTTTTCATAATGTCTCTGCTGTTTATGGACGCTGGACTCGTTTTCTAGCAGGTGCGGCTCCCCACCAATAGACGGAGCAACCAGGGACAGTTACTAGAGGTTGCTGTACGGACGCTGGACTCGTTTTCTAGCAGGTGCGGCTCCCCACCAATAGACGGAGCAACCAGGGACAGTTACTAGAGGTTGCTGCTCATACGACCCCCTCTGGTAGAGGTTGATGGCTTTCCAAAACAAAAAAAAACGGTTACTAGAGATGGCTTCAAACAAAAAAAAAAAAAAGACAGTTACTAGAGATGGCTTTCAAAAAAAAAAAAAAGGTTTTGACAGTTCTGTGGCTGGTTCCATAGTGTAGCCTTGCTGTTTTGCATTGGCCTTCCTTTCTCCTTCTTCCCAGAATAGCAAAACGAAGCAAGAAGGGGCGTCGTTAGACACTCCTCGGGGCATCCTCGGGCTCCGAGGATGAATCCTCGGAAAAGTTTAGGGTTTTTGTCGTCTTCGTTACACTCATCCTCGGAGCACCGTTTTAGGACTCATCCTCGGAGCAATGTCAGAAAAAAAAAGGAAACAAAAAAGAAAAAAAGTTGTGCTTCAGGCGTTCAGCCAATAGGGTGCCGCCACGATCCGAATTCTCGGTTGTAACACCTCTCTACGTGCATGCCCTCTCCTCTCCGTGAAACACGGATCCTCGGGGCCGAGGACGATTTGGCTGGGAAATCCTCTGAGCCCAAGGATTTGTCCTCGGAGTGTTTTCGCATTTTCATTCCCGATTTCATCTCCGAGGACAGGTGGAACGAAGACGAAATCCTTGGAATCACATCCTCGAGGAGTGTCTAACGACGCCCAAGGTCGATGCAGAATAGCAAGGCTATACTATGAAACCAGCTATTTCATAGTTAAGTCGCGCTCTGATTCGGCTTCTCCTTTTTTCGGTAGAATACGGCACAACACCCTTCGGCTTACTAGCCTTGTATCTCATTTGTTGGGATCCATTGGCACCACTGTCTCTCCCCTTCTGAGCTTCGCCTGTGGTCCCCTCTCAGGGTGGGAACACGACACCAATTTGTGAAGGTATGTCGGGCCCGTTCGGGAAAGAGAAAAAGAAGCTGTGTTATGTTAGTAACTTAGTACGAGTAAAGGGCCTCGCCACACCAGTGTCAAAACCGTGATTTATTTTTATTTTTATCTTCTTTTTTTTTGGGGGGGGGGGGGGGGGGGGGGGAACAGTCACCATTTTTTTTCCAAAGGCCGCCTTCGCCACACCCTGGGTCAGGTCCCACTAGCAGCGTTGAGTTTCCTCAACGCCTGAATCTGGTCGTGTTTGTGGACGTGCAGAAATGGCGTTGAGTTTTCTCAACGGCACATTTCCACAATGACGTCCAGATTC